ATAAAGTCACCTTTCAGTGAAACAAGTGAAAAAGAACAGAGAACAGTTGTAATACATGAAGCTCCGAACAGTGAAGCCCCACCACTTAACTTCTAAGAAATTATGTCAGTGTAAATCATGATGTGATGAATGCTTCACTGAAATGATTCATGCCATATGGTCTGAAGAGCAAAACGGGCACAGTTTATTTTTAAAAGAATGAGAAATATGAACTTGGAATATTCATTGCTTTGTCCTGCCAGGCTGAACATTTGCTGTAGCAGTGGCAAGACTTACTGCAGGTCTGTCTTTTTTTGCTCACTTAATATGTTGCACTAGTATGAGGTTTCAGTCTCATTCATAATGGAATAATGTCCACAAAATTATGATCAGTATTCCAAAACCTCTTCTGCAAACAAATGTTCACAGGGCACCTACAGACTAAATCATCTTCTCACTTTCTCTTTAAAAAATCCATGAGAAACTTCAGAAGTAAACAGACCTCGTGGTGTAATGACTATCTTGGTAGTGAGAAGACAATTAAATTGAGTCCCTGACAGAGGTGAAACGTGCTGATAATACCATGAGTCGCTCAGCTCTCCTTTTGTAAAGCTGCTTACGGTCAACACCTTTCTGGCTATATTGTTGTGTATTAACATATTCAGTGTGCCTTATTCATCTTATTCCAATTCAAGGACAATGAAGAGCCAGTGTCTCCTTAGACAAGTACTGGAAAAGGAGGGCTAGTCAGTATACTACAGTCATTGTGCAAGGTGTTGATGGTTGCCCAGTTCTGACCTCTCCCCCACCATTTGTGCAGAGATATGTCCCCTGAAAAAGCAGTCTGAGAGCAGTCCACTTTCAAGAAATTGCAATTTTCATTCTGCAGAATTTATCACTGTGTATAATACCTTGAAAAAATTCATTTTGGATTGAAAGCCTTGACATCACAACTTCAGGTGGCTTGGTTTGGTCTGTGAGATGTTATAAGGGTGATTTCTAAATCAAATGTTTATGATCAGAGGTCAGCTTCAGTTTCAGGAGGGTAGCCCTTAAACTAATGGGCAGGATTTCTGTAGCTAGCATAAATACACTCAGGTTCAGTGATGTTAGTATACTCATCATTCACATGTACTCTGTTTGCAACAGTGATGTAATTTATATATAGATCAATTTTAACTTGCAGTCTGGTTCCACAATGATGTAATTAAGTTGATACTGCCTGGGGTGGGTAGTCCCAAATAATCTGTAAATATAAGAAGGATTTTATAGAAGGATTAAAATCAATTTAACATTAGCTTTTAAACAAGTAAGCTACAGTTGTTTAAATGTCCGCAAGTCTGAGGAACAGTGCCTATTTTTTTAATAGGTTGAAAGAATGGCTAGTACTTTTTTTTACAGATGGAAGTTGAAAAGGTTTACAGGGTTAATACATTAATTTAAACTGATAAACAAATATCTGTGTAAACAAATTATTTCATTATAACAATTAAACCTGTTATTGATCTGTTTTAAATTCAATTAATATAAGCTTCTTATATCGACTTGAGCATGCATGAAGTGCTGTCTTCTCTCAATCATTTTTAAACTCTTTTTAAACAACACAGCATTGCACGTAGGCAAGCTTGTGCTAGAGAAAAGCATTTATAATGTACCACTCACGACTCCGACTCCTATGATTCCCTCTAGTGGTCAATAATTCTCTGCTAAACGTTTCTTAGTACTACAGATTGTACCTCTTCTGCACTAAAACAGTCTCCTCTTTTGAATTCAAGAGATCCATTTTTTTATTCTTGTGCTGCATAGGAGAAGGACAAAGCAACTGAATCTTTCAAGATGTGCAGCTAGTATATCTGTGGGAAGTTTTACTTTCCTTACTAGGAGCAGACAAGTTGCATATACCACATACCAGCAAAAGCCTGCTCTGTTGGCAGCGCATACCAGGAGGTGACTGATCTGCTGCAGAAGGAAGCAGTCCTTCCACCCTTCCACCCCACCCATACTGTTAGGCAGTATGAGAATGCCTGGTGCCCATTTGCAAGCCTGGCAATAGGAGCACCTCTCCTGCAGTTTTGAATAGCATAACAACATATGACTTGTCATATTCATACAAGTAGTTTGGTAAGTGGCTGACATTTACCTTGGCTTAACGTCAATAGGAAATGGAGTTATGTAGTTCGGGTTTTCGTAAGATTACAGACAACTTGAAATTGTAGAGGTTTAATATGAATTGGCAGAAGATGTACCCCGCAAATTCCTATCTTCACCTTGCTTTCAACTCAGGGTACTCTCCAATATATTTAAGAGAGGTGTAGACAGCAGCAGCTGCATGCTGAATTAAGGTGCCATTTTGTATCAGTTTGAGTTGATTCAAGTCACTACTAATCCAGTGCTATATTCATTTTCTAACCTTGGCTGTGCATTTCTGCTCCTTCCTCATGCCAGCTCTGGGACTTACATGACTGCTGAGGGAGATGGCTAACTGGCAGACTAAGGAAAAAGAAATCCTGACAAAACCTGAAAAGTTTGAGGGCACTGATGACCTTGTTGAAGCCACATACGCCTTTCTTGTGAAAGCTTGTGAACAGCTGTGTGCCAAGACCTCTTCTTTTGGCATTCTTGTTTGTCTATTACAAAGGGCAAATGCAAAGTCTACTCCTGTGGGATTAGGCTGCTACAAAATATTTTTTAGCCATCTTTATCACAATTTTTTTCCTCCCCTGTGGATGGGAAACTCAGGAATGGGCAAGGAGAAAGCTGTGGACTGAATAAACAGCGGATTTTTGAGAAGGTGTTGGCAACCTAAGTGCATGATCACAACAAAAATGCCTTTTACCTGTGGTTCTCAAGACACAATTTGTGAAATTCAAACTTTCATTTCCTCATATACATAATACCTCTATTATACAGAAAAGTTAGGATTAAAAAAAATATTGTGGAATTAAAAGAGCAATTGATGCATGTGCTTGGCTATCATATATATGCAACATTATCAAAAGACAGTAGGAGAAATCAACAGTTTATGTATTGTCCTGTGGTACAAATTAGCAAAATACATTTATGGCATGTAGAAAAATTTAAGAGAGACCCAGGGAATAATGCTGCCACCTACTTGTACCACACAGTACCTCTTAAATTACCATATTACTTATCAGGTTTGATAATTATGTTATGCTAGTTTCACTTCTAGTTGTTCTTAGTTCTTTTTCTTAGCATGCACTGTTGGGTGATATGAAAACTACTCAGTTTCTCAGACAACTGTGCAGTGATGATTCACTGCAGTTAGCATCAAGATGCAGCTTCAGAAAAGAGAGGGAAAGAAAAGTGGCTATTTCTATTTCTGCATATCTTGTTTAATAATAGGACATCCATGTTGCTTAAACAGGAGTAACAGTTCTTATTTTTAGAATCTTTGCTCTCATATACATGTTCCTTCATTTAGAAAAATTATGTTAACCCATCTGAAGCAAAAATCCTTTTGAAGCTCAGTCATATGGAAAAAGACATAGTTAAGAGTTGTGAAAGAGACCACTGAGTTGCTGGCACTGATGTACATCATACGGTCAACATAACCCTATCAGACTTAAAGATGCTCTTCTTTGCACCAACTGCCGTAGATAATGTTTTTAATTCCTAGATTTCTGTCTGTGTGAGAGGATGTAATGGCTGTCCTCATTCCCAATTTTTTTTAAAGCTTAGTACTCAATAAATTCACATCTTCTGCTAAATGGAAATAATTCAAAATAGCTGCTTCAAAAATGGTGGATATTTTGCTTGTTATGAATATCAGTGTTGTAACTACTTCCATCTGATTGCACATCTTTACAGCACTTCATCACAGATTCAGATGCTGGGTTTTCTGAAGGTCTGGATAAGGCAAGACTGGAAAAAAATAATTTAAAAAGTTGAATTTTCGTTCTACTTAATAGGACAGATAGGAGCCTACAGCTGAACTACATGAAATACGAAACTCTGAGAAACTAATGCTACAGTATGATTATAGAAGGAATTTTGGGCATGCTTCACCAGAAGTGGCTGGGAGTAAGGGATAAAACAGAGATAGTCTGGAACCAGTCAGCCAAAAAAAAAAAAAAAGCTGGCACTAGTTTATGTCTCTCTCTTAACATTGCTGTCCCTAAGAAAAGCTTGGAAATTACAAGCCAGACATCTCTAAATAGAAGACAAAAGAAAATCAATGCTCAAGCAAAGACAATGTGTTTTGGGAAACCTTCCTTCCAGTTTTCCAATTAATAGGCCTAACAGTACTGAAACTGGAAATCCCTGCAGGCCACAGGACTGGAAAGTGATGTGCTCAGAGAAACACAGTGAGCCATCCCACTCTACTATGTGCAGCATGTAGTCACACACGGGCAGCAAAGCGCTGTGCTGGTTCCAAGGTCTTCATCACAACAGCCACATCTGGCCGGAAATGCTGTGTTTCTCAGGCAGGAGCTGCTGGTCATGTTCATAGCCGGTACTACCGCCTGTGTTTGTGCAACACAACCCTCCTACCCCAGCTTCCCTCCGTAATATATCAAAAATATCATAAACAATCTGGATTTTAACCTCAACCAGGCTCCGGGAGCCTGGTCCCCGGAGTTCAAAATCGGCAGGGCCCTCGCGGTCGTGGCTTGCACCACCTTGGGCAGTGTTTCACAGTTCGAAATTTAGAGAGCGACCAGAAACACCGGACTGGTCCAGGCCGAAAAACCTGCTTGTTTTACCCACATAAAACCCTGGCGGTAGGGGGTAGGTGTCGAGTGAGCTTGGGGCCCACGCTGGAGCAGGACAACAGGGACAGCCGCAGGGCCGTATCAACACGGGCAGGGAACGGTGAGGTTGCTGGAGCGCTCCTCACTGAGGCAAGAATGCAAGGCCCGGCCTGCCTGGCAGGTCTCCTCCAGCCGCTTGCAACTCGCCGGCACAGGGAGACCGTGCAGCCCCTCACAGCAGGGACAGCCGCACGGAGAAGGGGCGGGGACAGCCCGGGGCCTCCTGCTGGGCCTGGGGCCCAAGTCGGCAGCGGAACGCAACGGCGGGCGCAGGTTTGCGGAGGGCCGGTTTGAGCCGGGCACAGCGCCGCGCGGAGGGCGGCGGTGAGCCCAAGTCGAGGAGCCGGCATGAAGGAGCTGGCGCCCGCCGTGAAGATGGAATGCGACATTTTGGATGCGCTGGAGACCCTGGGGTAATCGGGGGTAGCAGCGGCCCCCCCCTATTGCTGGGAGGGAGGCCGAGGGGACCCCGCCGCCTCGCTGCTCTGCCGAGCACAGAGCGGGGACCCATCGCATCGGGGAGGAGGTCGGGCCCGGGTTGGGGGGCAGAGGGGTGCGGCGTGGGGCAGAGGAACGGACTTCGCGTTCCGGCGGGTGCCGGGGAGGCCCGGTGGCGGCCGTGGCTGGGCCTTTACCCTCGCCTGGAATTGGGGTCACAGCATCTGCGTTGTGCTTACCCTGGTTGTAATGGGGGTTAGGAGAAGGAAGCGCGTCTGGACGGGTGTTTGCTGGGTTGCGGGGGTGGGGGGGGGGTGGGGGTGCGGGGGTGTTGAAAGCGGCCGTGTCTACTCACGGTGGGGCGGCCGGGCCTCACACTGTCCGCCCGGCTTCAGCCCGCCTTGAAGTGCTGCTCCAGGTAGAATAGAGCAGAAACAGTGTAAAATTGAGTTCGTTTTCTGTTATCGTATTGCCAGTGATGTCCCAGAAGTACATCACCAAGATAATGTTGTAGGGAAATTTGTTTGACTAAACACTCACATTCTTGTCTGTTCAGCATGGGCTGAGACATGAAACTGTTCTCATGTACACATGATATGTGCGGATGCTTGCCTCCTGTTTTCTGACACACCATTTTGTTCACCACTCATTTATTGGTTTGTTTAAAAAAAGTCTCAGTTATTCCTTGATAAAAGTAACTTAAAAAGAGTAATTACTTCCAGCATGGTTACTAACCAGCTTGTGGTAAAATGTTTTTAAAACGTATATATTTTATGGTAAGCTGGTTTCATATCAGTAATGTTTCTATCTCTCTGCAGGTACACTGGTCCTCTGCTGGAGGAGGGAGCCCTGAACAAAGCAGCAGAAAATGGATTGTCTTCACCAGAGTTTTTTGAGCTTTGTGTTTGGTTAGGTTCCCAAATAAAGTCACTTTGTAATATGGAAGAAAGCATCACTGCAGCAGATGGTGTGTGCATTTTAATTTATTAATGCAGTTTAGTATTTGCTCAGTGGGTTTAGGCCCATATTGTTCAGCTGATGGTGAATTTACAGTGTTGAACTTTAGCAGATAGAGAAAGGGTAGTCAAACAGGCTTGTATTTGTGTGGATGTGGCTCATAGATTAAGTCTTGTCTTGTGAAGTGTCTTTCAAAAGAAAAAAGGTGCTCATGGTTTGGTTTTTTTTTAGATCTTCGTAAATATGAAAAGTATATTCATGCATCCTTAATTAGTTGTTTTATGTAATCATATTTTAATGGAATCATTATTGGAAGAGACCTTAAAGATCATCTAGTTCTAACGCCCTTGCCACGGGCAGGGACACCTTCCACTAGGCCAGCTTGCTCAAAGTCTCATCCAGCCTGGCCTTGAGACTTCCAGGGATTTTGATGGCTTAAATTCCACTGCCTGATATTTTCAGCTACTTGGTCCAGTGCAGTGTTCCTTTCAGCACTGTGTGTGGATGCTCGAGTTGCATGTTACTGCTACCTGATTTTTTTGAGTACTAGAACTTGGATAAGATTTGGTATTGATTGTGTTTTCGCCAAAAAAAAGTAGTAAAACTAAAAACAATCACTGGTAATAATGGGTTCATGACTCCTAAAATTTGTTCGTCAGAAAATTAATTACATCGATATGCTGCTTTGTGACGTAAGCTGTTCACTTCATAGTGATGTTCAATTGCATCAAAGTCTTCAAAGATTCTGTGGCATCACCACCTTGTTCAAAGCTTTGCACTTGTTTATTCCCATAGGTGATAAAGATATAGAGAGCTTCCAGCTTGAGATTAGTGGCTTTCTGAGAGAAATGGCTTGTCCGTATTCATCACTTATATCTGGAGACATCAAGGACAGATTAAGAGAAAAAGAAGATTGTCTTAAACTCCTCTGTAAGTTATAAGCATTTTTTTATTCCCACTTAGAATACAGTATTATATGTGCATGCTCTGTTGTTATTCTACGGTTACATTAAATAGTTCTTTATCTGTATTTAAGTATATGTGTACAGTTATACAACCTACCTGAGCATGCATCAGCTCACTTGTGCAGAAACGGAAAATAGAAAACTATTAGGAAACTATTTTAGTAGAAATTAAACTTTATTTGTGAAGTATGGTTCAGCCTACTGAGGCCTCATCCCTCTCCCAGTCCAGTTCCAGCTCTGCTGAAACTGAGACCTTGCTTCCTGTGTTTCTGTGAAGTTTCTGGACATCTTAAAAGGAAATGCTACCTGATTTGAAAGTGCATGATTGAGAGAAGTAAAGTTTAGGTGTAAGATGGACTTGGACAAAGGAGTAGCAGCAGGAACCAGTGCAATAATACAAAACTAGCCAAGGAACTAGGAGTCTGGTGGCAGAAGTGGGTTAAGCAGTGAAATATGATGTGTAGACTGAAGATAGGAAGTCAGGTGAGAGTTAGTTCAAGTAAGGAATGGGAAACTGATACTGACCAGTCCATGGGAGAACTGAGAGTCTCCTTTTTATCAGGGTTGTCTTATAAATGTGTACTTGTATTTGTGTATGAGAATGTGGATGCAGAAATATTCATGTGTCTCTAAATCTGCCATTATGATGCTTTTCTCTCTAGTATTTCTAAGTACAGAACTTCAGGCTTTAAAGATACTGCACAGCAAGAAAATGAAAGGCTCTCATTTGGAAAAACACAATGAAATTTACCAGGAAGTGCAAGCTATTTGCAATGCACTGGGCCTGCCAAACTCCTCATCTTCTGAAATTCCTCCCTTGTTAACCAATGTGGAACAAAAGGTATGGGCTTTTATGTGTTTTCTCAATTGTTAAATTGTAAGCATAATCTCTGAAAGCATTCTTCTTTAAGGGTCCAACAGTCTAATCCACAAAAGCCCTATCTGACAAGTGTAAAGGAATTTTTATTCTGAAAGCTGGCTTAGTGTTCAACTGTTTTGTTTTTGAGGTGAAGTATTTCAGCATTTCCCCGAGTATGTGATGTACCTGGTGAGGCATACTTTGCCATGCAAATTTAAGGCATGAGTTGAAGTAACATAGTTTTCATGTTACCCATTCAAATGTGCTGCAGCAAGCAGAAGACTTTGGGCAATAACTGATTGTGCATTTATATACCTGTAGTTGTTTCTGGGATGTGTTTAAATTTAATGTCCTTAGCTTAAATTTTTGCTTTTTAGCGTATGACCTTCTTACTTGGAGGCATTTGCTTGACAGTGCCATTTCCTTAGTTGCAGAAGAGGATGAAAATGCTTGACTTACTGGCAGCCAGAGAATAAGCCAATTTAAGCTTTATTCAACAGGATAGCTTTTTTGTTTTTTTCAGGTCCCACCAGTTTCTAATTCATTTCACAGATGCAATCCTTAATCTGACTTCCTCATTGCAGAATGTAAATAGGCTTTTGGGGTGGAATTTATCTTCTCTGTCAGGCAGCTAAAAGTTTTGCTCTTTATTTCTCCCTAGTATTTGTGGAGAGGGTGGGTGACCGATCCCCTTTAAGAATTATGGGAGATACATGGAATGAATCTCTCTGTGCTGCTGAGTAAAAATTTTGCATGATTATGCTGCTTTTTTCTTCTTCCTCCTCAGCCAGGGGCAGTTGAATATTTAGAGGTTTGGGGGAGAGGGCCTGTTACTTGCATGTTTTTCTTATATCTGTAGGACTTCAGGGTGACAAGACAGTACCTTTAATAGATTCATTTATGAAGAGCAGCATCCAGGTGGTGGTGAAGATGTCTGTTCCTGCACTATTAACTGTGCTTGATCTGTTTAGTTCTAATCTTTATATCCATTAATTTTTTTTTTAAAGGATGAGGAAACAGTTCTAGTACTGTTTTGTGAGGATTAAAATGTCAGGACAGCAAGAATTACTATATTTTTATACAGCAGATTTTGAAATAAATATTTTTGTATCAAACAAATCCAGTAACTGTTTTGGTTTTAAACTAATTTTAGAGAATGTGTTAACTTCCAAAGCAATCCTGTAAATATTTTATGTTACCAAGGTCATGGATTATACAGAAGGTCAAATAGTCAAGTATATTTGTCTCCATCTAGCTTTTAATTAGTTTGTTTTTTACAGCTGAGTGTGTGAAAACTTTAAGATGACTTTGCTGTTACAATTTGTTTTACATTTTTCTGAGTAGGTTTTCACTGCTCTCTTACCTGGACAATCCTTTTGTATAGTTCCCGCTACACGTGCAAGCTTCTTTCTTTGTTGCGATGGTGTCTTTCTTTAAACTCCTGCTTATCCTTCTTAATCTAGGGCAACTGTTGTGTTCAGGAATGTGGGTTATAGCATAGATTCTCATATCAGTTGTATTCTTGTCCTCTGGCAGACAGGGTTATGTTAGAGCTCTTGTGTTCATAGCCCTGTCATCAGTCAAGGCTGGACAATGTATTCTGCAGCTATAAGGCAGCTCAGTCTATTTCATCATTATAGTTGTAGGATAATGTTCTCAGATTTCTGTTGATGGGAGCAGGGGAGTGAGGTGGAGATTCAGTAATCTGGGTATGACTTTATAGTGTGTCACAAACATGAACGTAGACCAGTTCATCAGTGAAAAGATTCCTCCTTAAATATTACTTGATTAATAAACCTGTATCATCTTTAACTTGGAGAGAAAGGTTGGAGAAATTTGGGGGCAGTTTCCCAGTCAATAAAGGATTGTTTCGTTTAGCTGTCTTGTTTCTTCTCGTTCTGATTTTCACTGATTCTCTTCCATTATTATTTTCTCTAAACTTCCTTTCATTTTTCAGTTTGTGGCATTCAGGAGTATGCAGTGCTGAGTTAGGTCTTTTACCTGTGATCATCTTGTGATGGCAGAATGTGTGGCTTTTTTGTATGTGGAGCCCATTGTTGTATTTACCTCTTAGCTGCCCTTGCAGCTAAACTTGCAATAATTCTAATCTCTACACAGTATTCAGCATCACTGGTTTCCAAATTTTCTTTCACTCAATAGCTATAAATTATATCAAGGATTTGTTTTGGCTTTGCTGGGTTGTTTTGTTCCAGAAGCCAATCTCATTTTGATAGACTCTTCAACTCATTAGAACCTTTGAGTTTATATTGCTGACCTTAATGGCATATGGATAGACACCTCTTGCCTAATAGGATTTTTATTTAATCTGCTGTTTATTCCTTCCATAGTAATTACTTATTTCTTCATCCCTTGCTGTCATGCTGATCTAACTGTATTGCTCCAGGTTTTGATTCTTCAGACACTTATCTAAATTCAAGTATGTTATGTGCTTGGATGCATTGAAATTTTGAAGTAAATTATGAGAGGCATCGTGTACATGCTTCACTAAAAGCAAAACAAGTGGGCTGCATTTAGAAGACAGACAAGTCAGACAACCATGGAGAAGAGCTGTGCAAAGGAAGTTCCTTCAAGAAAAGGATGTAGAGGTTTCTTGTAATGGGAGAGGAGAATGCAGTGGAGTTTGAAAGGCAAAAAGAGAGAGCACACCTCATCCCTAATTTCTGAGGGCAAAAGCTAATGGAAGAAATATAAGTAATGCTGATTTGGGGTGAATGAAAAGGTCTTAAACGTGATGTTATATGAAAGCAAGCAGGATTAGGAGAGAGAATGTATACCTGTCATATCTCCTGCCTTTCTTATTAGCATCCCATTACCAGAACTTTTTAGCCAAGTCTAGCATTTGACACCAGAACTCTTAGCTTCCAGTTGTTACATTTTCTTAGTTGTAGGTACAACACTTAATAATAAGTAAAATGATTAATTTAACTAGCCCTTCTGCCTGTATGCACTTGAAACATTTGCCGTGTACATATTTTTCTATTATAAACGGGAAAAGTAGCGTGCCATAAAAGATTTTTGTATGGAGGTTAGTCATGCAGTAAAAGTATTCAGGAAATCTTTTTGTCATGGGTAAGCCAGAAGAAGCATATCTGGTTTTATGAGTCTGCTAAAAAAAATGTGCTGTGTTTGATCTTATGAGTAGCAAATTGTGATTACTGCAGGTTGTGCTGGAATAAACAGAAGTATAATTTGTGTTCTGAGAAGAAGTATGTGTTTCGTTTCAGATAAAGGACATTCTCTCAAAAGTTCAAAATAACCATGTGGGGAAGTCACTACTAACAAAACCTCTGAATTCTGAACAAGTGGTAAGTAGAAGTCTCTCAATTTCTTTTCTGTATTTAATGGGATGTCAAAATTAATGCTTATGGCCTCATCTAACTTTGTCCATTTTATAGTCAGTGGTCTATTGCTAAGTATTAATACTGAAATTCAATTGCTAAATACTGATTATGCTAATCAGATACTTCTAGAATTAATGTTATAAGGCAGACTTTTTGTGGATTCATCCTCTTTCAAAATATTTTGTATACGCATACTACTGTAGCACTACACAAATGCATCTCGAATTTGATGTAGTTCATAGTGATCATCTGGGGATTGACATCTCAGTTGCTGAGTGGGGTTACCTTTAAATTGACTTCTATAACTTTATAGATTTGAATGTTTGAATTTTTATTATAACACTGCAGGAAAGATTGGAAAAAATCAATGATGCTCTTCGGAGCGAGTACGAATGTCGCCGACGCATGTTAATGAAGAGGCTGGATGTGACAGTACAGTCTTTTGGCTGGTCTGATAGAGCAAAGGTAAGCTTGACGAATTGTTTGTTTCCTGTACGTAGGAGGCTGCTGCAGTTCCCCAGATCTTCCTACTGAATGATACATACTATGTAAATACACTTCCATTACTGTTATCTTCTTTCCAACCAGTTTCTCATCAGTGGTTGTAGCATCCAAGTCCTGGAAGGGGAAGGATTTCACTAGATGGCACAGTCTATCCTTGTGTCTGTTTATAGCTTCAAAATTATAAATTTTAGCATCCTCTGTTGGGATGTCTCACTTTAATAAGTTTGCATCTCCCCTTTTCATTTCCTATATACACCCCTCTCCAATCAAGTGAATTGGGAAGGATCTTCAGCATTTCTCATGCAGATGCAAGAGAAATATAAACACTGGGACTTAGTATGAACTGAATGTAAAGAGTCGCTGCCCGTAAAGTCAGTGAGATTACAGTTATTGCTGCCTGTCTTGGATTCAGATCTACTGGATGATCATACAACTACTACATACTACAGATGGTCAGTTGAACACGTTATTTAAATAGCAGCTCATGAGAAAAGCACGCAATTGTAATCCTTCAGATGGCTAAAAATTCCAAATGACTGAATTTTCTATGTTGATATAATTTTAATTGTGAGCATTTAGTTTGTAGCACTCTGTATATTAAAAACGATCATGATTTAACCAGTTTGATCTTTTTGAGCTATAAATATATATTGTTTCTATTCAAGAGAGTGGGGAGATAGGATACAAAAGGTTTGTAATTTGATGAATATACATGTGGAAAGCTGAAGGCCAATGTTTTTGCTCATGAGCTGCAAGATCAGCTTTCCTTCAAAAGGTTGGTGTAAAAAGCTTAAGATGGATGTCTTAAAACTTCAAAAGCTTACTGAAAGTATGGATTGTTACTAGTCTTTCTGGTGTCACAATTTGTCGTTGACACTTGCAGTCAGAATTGTTTACATGAAGCTCACTCAGTATCACTAGAAGACAGGAGTCTGGATGCTGCTGTGCTACTTTGAAATGGCTCACTATTTTCTGCAGGCGTTGTGAATGCTTTTATGCTGCAGGAAAGGAAAAGGAGGACGTTTAGCTCACGGAAGCCAGGACAGGTTCCCGTGTGTGTGACTTCCTTATAGCTGTACCAATGCAACTATATATTTTAAAATTTAAAGTGTATTTCTGAAATGTAGTTGATGTTAACTCATGACTAACTTAGGCGAAAATTTTAAGTCATTTGCTCTTACTCCATTCAAACGATGTGAAAAACAATACAAATACACTTTTGCAATAGAACAACAGTTTAAATTTTTAATGATGATGGAGTAATAAGATGATTCATTTTCCTATCTTGACTGTTGATGTGAAATAGTATGCAGTTACAGAAATAACCAGGTGAAATATTAATCCAAAATTACATCTTTTTTCCTTATTGTCAAAATATTTTATTATAACTTCTCTAAGAAGGTTTTGGGATTGAAATTATTTTGGCATTGATGCAGTTCAGATTTATTTTTTTTTTAAGCCAAGAGGCAAATTGTTCTGCTTTTTTAATTCATTTGTTAGCTTGCCTTTTTTCCCACCATTAAATAGGTATTGATACCTTTATCTGCTTTTGATGCTGTGGTGTTCTTTTGTGTGTGCTATAGTTTGGATTTTTTTTTTTTAACTTGTTCAGTCCCTAAGAGAGATAAGTTTGCAGACTGAAATGGATTCATAAATGGTGTAGTAATTGCCTGACAAAACAGTCAAGTAAAGGAACTGCACCTGTTGTCTGGTCCTCCAAGATCCAGTTTTACTCTTAAGATCACTCTAGATGTCCTTTTTTGTTAAACAAATAAAATATCAAGGTATGTTTGGAAAAAGTCTTGCTTTTTCCCCTTCTCAGTCTTCCCTTTTTCATGGCTTGCACAAGTGTTCTGCTGCATGTATACAATTCATTTTTTTTCTACAAGTTGATCTTGCTTTGAAGCTGCTCTGTTCTCATCACATTTAGAAGTGATCTGTTAAATATGGCTATGTAAAGCTCTTAAGAGGGCAGTCTACATTTTAGACTTTAGATGTGTTGGAAAACATTAAAGAATCTGATGACAGTGGATAGGAGAGTTTCCTTTGTAATGGTGTTAATTTCAGCATCAACTAAACATCAGCATTTTTTGTACAATAGTTTCATGAGTATGAAGGGGATTGGTAACAACTGGCAGTATATTTTGTAAGATAACTTAGATTTTTAGGCATTCCACCCTGTGTTCAAATTGAAACTGAGACCAGTTCATGGTTTACGGTACACGTGTTTGCATGTTTTATGCCTAGCAAATAAGTTGTGTTTGATTTTTATCATTTAGGTAAAAACAGATGATATAGCACGAATCTATCAGCCCAAGCGCTATGCATTATCTCCAAAGTCAACTATTACATTAGCTCACCTTCTTGCTGCTCGAGAAGATTTGTCAAAGATCATAAGAACAAGTAGTGGATCAACACGAGAAAATACAGTCTGTGCGATCAATAAGGTATGCTTTTTCTTTCTGGGATGTGATAAAAGGACATGGGAGTTTACAGACCTGTCAGTCATCATTCTGGAAGTACACTCTTCGCTTAATATTTTCATTTCTTTCTGTAAGATATCTGGTGGATTAAGAAAGGAAGGTTTGCAGCATTCCACTAACCATTGCGGCAACATCTTTTCATGTTATTACACATTCAGTCATGCCACAGGGTGAAACACTAGTCTAGATGAGCAGGAGCAGTATGGGGAGGTGTATGTGTGTGCATGTGTGTTTGTGTAAATGACTTCTTTGAGTTCAGTGGAACTGCATGCCTCATGTTAAAGATACGTGTCAGTCTTTGTGGTATCAGCTCCTGGGCTGCCATTGCCAGGATTATGTCATTCAGTTCATAAACCAGCAGCTTTAGTGTATCAGTATATTATAAATGATAGAAGTTTCTGTGGAAGTGTCATTTTGCTGCAGAGCAAAATTATTTGGTTTAGCTACAGTAATAACACTGTACTGCTTTCTTGTGTATGATAAAAGCTGAAGCTTGTGAGTAATGGCATTAGTTTCACCATTCAAATGGTGACTAAGCCTATTTTTATTAATCGTTTACTTACAAATTTTTCCAAAGTTTTGTGCCTCATTTAGATATCTTTTAATTTGTTTTGATCCCAGAAATACTGAATTTTCTTAATTATTGTAGGATCTCAGAGAAAGTTTTGAAGTTTTTTTGGAGAGGACTTTAATGGAAGTGCCTGGGACTGACCAGCATATGTAAACATTCATTACACAGAAGGTTTAGGAAATACGGAAACAACAAAAAGACCTACCTGGATACCTTTTTGATCTCTAACTTAATGTTTTGTTTAATTTTGTCCAGTCTCCCTTTTTGTACACTGGATAATATCCACCAAAGTCAAGATCCCTTTTGTTTTAATTTTCTTGGAAGTGTTATTTCAGCATGTTACATGCTCTGTTCCAGCCCCTAATGAGTTGTTTCTAACCTAAGGCAAACTGATGCTCCTTTCAGAGTTGTGTTATCAATTTGCCAGTTCATGGTTTTTGCTAGCTGATTAGGTTTGAGCTTGAACTTTGAAATTTAAGTAGAAGAGCTGCATCATAAGGAGTCTTTTCTACATGAATATATATTGCATGAATTACATATATTACATATTCATATGCATTACATGAATTATATATATTGTTTATTGTAATACTAATACTTCACATGCATGTATTTACTTCATAAGTATTTCCCAAAAGTAATATGAGCTAGCCAGCTGCAGTTACTGCAATTTTACAGGTGCAAAATTGGATCTCTTTCAGAGTTCTGTTGTGTTAGGGTGAGTTACAAGGACAGGAAATAGGGATTCTGCTGTCAAGTTCTACACCAAGGGGACCATATTTCCTGTAAAGAGCAGGCAGCATGTCTTTGCGCAGAGAAGTACCCTGTGTCCCTTCAAATTATTACTATTTTTTTAAACTGAAAATGACCTATTTTTCTGTATAGGTTCTGATGGGGAGGGTACCTGACCGTGGAGGCAGACCAACAGAGATTGAACCACCTCCTCCTGAAATGCCTCCTTGGCAAAAGAGACAAGAAGGTGGTGGAAGAGGTGCCTGGGGAGGTGGAGGTGGGGGTGGAAGGGGCAACTGGGGGGGCGGAGGGGGTAGAGGAGGAGGAGGTGGGGGGGGGTTTGGAGGTGGGGGGGGGTTTGGAGGTGGGGGAGGGTTTGGAGGTGGGGGAGGGTTTGGAGGTGGGGGTTTCAGGGGTGGTGGAAGAGGTGGAGGTGGCTTCCAGAGTGGCAGGGGAGGTTATGGTGGCAGGGGAGGCTATGGTGATCCTTATGGCAGCAGAGGAGGGGGAGGATACCGAAGATACTGAAATAGTGTAAATATTAACAGTAATTGGCAAAATATAGTGGTGGTGTTTACTGGTGTCAGGAATTTAGATACTTTAACTTGGGTTTAGGTTAGAATTAAGTATTAACATTACACCAACTGATGTTGTCATTGAATTCTTTTAGTTAGCTGAGCAGAACTTTTATACTAAACTGTGATGACTAAAGTCCTTTTTTTTCGTACTGTTCATATGGTGTTTTTAATGTACTTTTATTTAAACTAAGCCTCAGAAAACTGAATAAAACTCTTTCTAAAAAAACAGATGTTATTTAATATTCAAGCTTCTCAAATTATTGCATGTCACATGTCCACTCCCCTGATCCAAATTTCTGTGTAGAAATATCAAAATAGGCCTAAGAACCTGATGGAAACACTTGAAAAACTAGAATGCTGCTTTCAGGCTTTTTGTCTTCATCTAATTTTCATATGGGACATGTAAATGAATTTTCATGTCAGATGGTGAAATCCTTAAGGCTTTGGTCAAAATTACTCTGTTGGGTTTCTTATTCTTCCAGAATTCACGTAAAAGAACATTCTGAATTAATACTCTGCAGAAACAAATAAAATTGTGTTGTTTAATGTGTTAATAACTATATCAGAGAGGTGTAGGTCAGAGCGTGTACTGTAAACTTAAGAAACATGGTGAGTTTTGATAGTGTCTATTTTCATTTTACCTGTTTTCCATTTTATTGGTGTTTCATAAAAATCTTTTAAGGTCAGATTGGGCAGGAAACTTCTGCAGGCATCGTATCTGGTAAGAGCTCATTTATATATTCCTTCTAAATTAGCCTTGAGACATAGAGGTTGAATCAGCTGAGCTTCTTGAGAAGGCTTTTCGTTCTGGTTTGGGGGTTTTTTTCCCCTCTCTTTTGTTTTGTTTGGGATTTTTGTTTTTTTCCTCCCCCATTTTGGGAAAGACCAGTTGTACAGCTAATAAGATATACAGCAGTTGCTCTTCCTCAGTGACCCCTGCCAACCAATTAGCCTGATAACCTGAAAGAAACTTAGTCTTGATATCGTATGGGTGCCTTCTCCCTCACAGACAGTGTTACTCTAGAAGAAGGAGTAAACTTTCTTGCAGTTATGGCTGTAAATATATGTAGGCAAGAATTAAATTTTAGAGCTGTCAGTTAAAGAGGACAGTTTCTCTTGTCCAGCATCTTTTAGATCCTCTCTACTGTGAGGCCACTCCTGAGTACAGAGTGCAACAGGGAGATGATGCCCAAGCATACACTCGTGACGGTATTCAGGGGCATGTTGTTACGGAGATATTCAGGAAGGCATCTGGTAAACTTGGGGATGTCTGTTGATTTCATAGCACAGCAACCTTGAGGCACTTTGAGTATGGCTTCTCTGCAGGTTGGCTTAACTGCAGGTTGAATTTTAAGATTTCATTCTGCTTTTATGTTCCACATTTACAAGTTATTTTTGCCCAAATTTCCTATCGCTGTCCATATCTGGTTTGCGTGACAGATGTTACTTTACCTTCAGGAACACATGCAGCATGTCCTGTTTCATCGGCAGCTTTATGCGTGAATATGAAGCTGTGTTCAAAATCAAATTATTATCTCTTTAAAAAGCCTGTGTCAGATTTTGTTAATAAGACATCACCAACCTTTTCATTTAAAATTTTAATCTAGGTAAATGGCAAAAGTTTCTCTCCATTGTTTCCTCTTTGGTCATAGTCTGCCTGAGAATGCTGCTTGTGAAAGGATAGATAAGGACTTATTTACCCATACTCTAGGGTCCAGACAGGTGCCTAACAAAGAAGAGCAGGAGTCTTCCTTGCTTGAACATGTTAGCTTGGATGTGAACTCTTAAAATAATGACTTAACTTCAGCCAATTGCTAGCAATACAGTTCCTTTGCCAGTTTTCTTCTACACTCCTTTCTGGCTTACACCATTGTCAGCCTCTGCAGTCATTATGGAGACCCCCCAAAGGTTGTGCTGGAGCATACTGCTGGGGTTTGTGCTCTTGCGCCTGGTTTTTGATGAATGCTCTGCAATAGCTCACAGATTGGTGACACACCAAGTGAGACTGCTGGCCACGGAGGTGAAGCGTTGGTCAGCAGAGGAGTGGAGGGAGTTTTTAACAACTGAAGCCTTAATATAAAATTCTGTTTGCTCATCCCAGTGTAATGTTTATGCTACAAGTAATTTCTGAACAGCAGTCAAGCATTTAGCTTCACCAAGGAAGCATGCTAGGGAAATCAAGTGGCTTATCTACACCTAAAGATTTTGTCAGTCTTAAGATGTGGAGATGGGCTGGTTTTAGTTCAACAGGTGTAATTGTATGTGGACGTGTCTTGGTGCCTTTACACTCATTGGTTTATCCTGTTTGTTGAGGGCAGGGTGGTTCTGAATGAAGTAAACCATAAGTGAACCAGCTATATGCCTACGTGTAATTCTAACAGTTAAATTATTTTAATACCATATTTCAGTTTTCTTTATGTAGATTATGTAGAAAATGGAAACTTGAATATGTTGGATATTTTGTTTTGATTTTTTAATCTGGCCATTTCAGTCTCTCTTTAAGCAATTCCAAAATGTGAAGCCAGTAGTTGAAAACTAAAGTAAGCACCACCACATTTCATCAAGGTATCCTTTTCTGTCCTCTGGTGTCAGAATGTATGCTTTTAATTTATCAAAAAATGCAATAATACCATGAAAATAATTGATTTAAACCTCTTCTCAAATTTTTTGTTTTCTTGAAAAAAAAAGTATTTTCAAAAATTCTGTTGTAAGCAAAAGATTTTCATACATATGTTTGTGAGCATTTTTGTGTTTATTCACGCATAGTGAGTATCTACCTGAGTATTGTTTTGTTTGCTCAAAAATTGAAAAATGGGTTGGGGAATTTTTCAGGATTTGAGACATTTTTGTTAGCAGCTGTAAACACTGAGGAATAAAGTACTGTATTTGAAGTTACTTGCATCCCTTGTGTAGTGTTATTTGGATCCACTGTCATATGTTCCTCTTGTGTTTGTAAGGAAGAAATCTTGCTGGTGATTTACAATGGTGATGGAACATATTTTTTATGAGATTGAAAAATTACAGATACATTTTGATCAAAATGCAGAAGGCTGTAAAGAACAATATAGAAGAATTCCAGCTGACAGGACATGTCACAAATACTTCCCTATTATACTGGCTGGGATTACTAAGGAGTCTTGCTTAAATTTTGCCTTAGTTAAAAAACCCCAAACAAACCATAAGTCTGTATGATAGTTACTGTTGTCTTTACATAAACTAAGGAAATATCTCAAATTACTTCTGAAGTTTTCTTTTCTGAATTTCTGTACTTGTGAAGTAAAACACAACTTGGTTTGCATGTGCAAGACTAGAGCAGATTTGCCCACATAAGCAGAAACTGTGTTTTCAGTAGTTAGTCTGCACTCCGTGTCTTCTTCCCTCATCTCCCTCTGATGACTGAAGATAACTGAATGAATATTCATCTCCCTATGTAAAAATGTATTTTGAGATGATAAGGTATTTTGAGGGTTACTACAGCGTAGCGAATAGCAAGTCTTTAGGGTGCTACAGTACTGCATGTGCAATAGCCAGTGTTAGCAGGTGCTACAGAAGCCTTGTTTAAACTTGGCTCCACATTGTGAAATCTTTCAAGAACTGGTACCTTAACAAACGTGAGAGATTATACTAATGAAGAAGTGTGCTTTGTAATACTTGGAAATGTGAGTGACAAAAGTGCCTGTACTGTGTCAAGTGCTAAAATAGGGAAAGACTAATCTGCAAACAAATAATAAGCTTCCTCACTGCTCTCTCAGGCAGCATTACCAGGGCTCACAGAAGGTGAAACGGTGCTGGGACTCTGGCACTAGGTTAATCCTGCAGAAGTATCTCACATGACAGGGTCAAGAAAGATGTATAAAGGTGGTTCAGATTTCTTTGAGATATAAACTCAGAGGCATAAAGTGAAATATTAGTATTTTTTCTATTATAAATATTAAACTGAAATCTTAACAATTTATATAAAATCTTTACAATCTGTACACTTTTTCAATCTTCTCAACATTAAACCAGTATGTTTTCAAGTTGCCACAGAGATCAGTTACATCAAAAAACATATTGCTACTGTAACAAAAACATATTTCAAAAAAAGTTATGTAAGCTACTTTAAAGGCAGCTGTGTTTAATCTGAATATGAACGGTAGCTCTGCTTTTTTTAATTGTGATGTTACTCTATTTAACTTTAAACCATCAGAATTCACACTTTATTTAAAAATAAACAGTAGTTGGAGGGGAGGTCACTTGCATTTCCTTTCTTCCTGTATGTACATGAAACAGAGCTGAGCCTGGAGGAATAAAGGTGCTTCTCATTTAAATTAGCCATGACAAGATAAATGTCAATACCAGTGTTTGCTAACATGACTTTTAAACAACACTTAATACTTTATCTTTTTTCCTAGCATAAAGCAACTTGAAAATTAATACAGATGTGAGTTTTGTTCAGTAGCTTTGTCAGTTTTAGCAGTATCCCTGCATTCAGTTTCTGCTATTACTCCTTCATGCAGCAGAAAGTCCCAAAAGAAAGAAGGGACTACCACTAAGAAAAGAAGTTAAAAAAAAAAAAAAAGAGGGAGGAAGAAAACTATAGTAAGTGGCTTTGGGCAAACAGGGAACCTGAAGGATCTTTGAGAGCTCTGACGTTCTTCAGGTATCAGCTGACCTCTTTGAAGCAGGAAGTCTTCAGCATACATGAAGCACCATGTATGTGTTCTGTAGGACACTTCTGCAAACAGATCCCTTTTAAGTTGTTCGGATTGTTTGTTTGTAGGAACAAGATGACAGCACAGCAGAACATTTAAGTTAGCGTTTAAGACTGTACAAATCTATGGTCATAACTTGATTTTCTGTATTAACACAGTAGCCTTTGGGCCAGGGGCTGATGTTTGGGAAATATCTTTTTAAATAAGAGATTTTGTTCATGATCTCCATCCTCAGCACAGACAACGTATATACAAATACACACAAATTCTATTAGAATCCAGAGGTTAGACTACAAGCTCTCCGTTAGCTGCACAACAAGATTTATGGCTGTTCTTCTGAGGTATTTTCAAAATACATGAAAATACATTCAACTTCTATCTTATGTTGTTTATTTTAATTGTTGCAGAAACAAACTTGTACTTGCTAAATGCCTATTGAAATACGCCTTACTGTAGTTTCCCTGAATAGAGAACAAAATCAAGAAGCTTACAGAAAATGGGCAAAGCAAGTTTGGAGACCTTGAAGCCATTCTGATTGCTTCATTGATCAAAGTGCAATTCCATGTTAATTGTAATTCAGGTTTAGTGTATGAGGAAAAAAGCTGCACAGTTTTCACAGCTGCTGGTTTTTGTCTTACACATGTCCATTATTTAC